GAACACAGCGGTGCGTGGGCGGGCACGGCGCGCCCGCACGTCGGGGTGAATTATGAGCCCCGGTGAGTCCGGCTGCACGGGTTGTCTAGGATTAGCGCGGATCATAGACCACACCGAACACACCCGCCGCGCTGTCTGAAGTGCACCTCTGCCGATACGTGCAACATCCAGCGGAACGGATGAGTGGGTCACGCAACGTGTAGAGGCAGATGGATGGTAAAATGAATTTGGGACACCCGGGGCCTGATTTAAGGATTGCGGGGCCCCCATGCACAAACTTGTGTTGCCCCCTTCCCCTCCCCATAAACGTAGTTCAATTTTTATTATTAAATAAAAGAAAAGTATCAAGTACTTTCTGTACAAATACAATTGTAAACTAATTTTGTATATAAATGTTTACACATATTATGTTTATACATTAAATACATTGTACATTAGAAAATATCTTATCCATATTTTTCCGAAGTGCGGGGTCCATCATGGATGGGGGCTCCCAAGCAACTGCTTGTTTTGCTTGTAGATAAATCCGGCTTTGTGGACACCGATGTCCCTCGTGTATCAGGCGAACCATTGCATGACCAACCATAAACAAAAATCGCTTTTCCTTATCCGGAAGTTTATTCGCCGAATCTATTGTACCAAGAACAGTTCGTGCAGTATTAGGATATGAAAATTCTGCGAATTCAAACAACAGTTTGACTTCGACTATGACGATTTCGTAGTACACAACTGTGGGTTTAGATATAAATGTGAGATCGATATTAACAGTGTGAAGTAAGTCTCTTCTAAATAAATTAGTGAAATTATCTATTCCGGATGAGATAGGGGAAAGCGGACTTTTTTTTCCTCTCATATTTTGTTTTTTTTTAAGATTTTTATTCAACAATGTAATTGATAAAATAATGCATAACCGAAGTTAAACTGTAATCTGTAACATACTGCTCAAAATATAAAACATTTCTTGCATTCGCGGAGTAAGTGACCGTAGAAGTAAGTGAAGATTCAACGTATTTGGAGGACTAATCTGAAGTTTCATATCATATTAAACTACGTTTCGTTGATATTCTCTTGTCAAAGATGTAAGCCAGTGAGTGTGTTTGGCCAGAAACCTCAAAATTATTGTTCCTGAAACAAAATTTACGTTTTGAAGCCATTAGTCAAATATACTTCCACGTCTCTCAGTGTGCGCAGTACATTAAGAGATCATTCAGACCACTAAGTTATTTCATTTCTACGAAAAGTCCTCACAACGAAAGAACCCCCCTTTCGGCTTCAGTGAGGGATGCGTGAAGGAGTGTGTTTTGAAAGACGCTGTAAACGAAAACATGTCATGAATAAAACGTTCACCTATTTGACACTATTTGTAAACCTAACTATTAAAGTAATAAACTAGTTGTCAAACTACTTTTCTGACTTACAATATGGGAAAGAGAAAAATCATGAACAATGTAAATAAAACATTGGAAGTGCTATATGCCATTTCGAATAAGAAAATTTGTAAAAACCGTCATTCAATATTCAGCTGACATATTAGAAGTCTATTCAAAATAATAAACAATAAAACAATGATACATGAAACTGTACGCAATAAATGTACAATTTTCCTATACAAAGTAGAAAGATTGGTCGACAATAACATCAATTATCTTCCAGTCAAAATCATCGACAGTATAATTCTCTTCTCACCCGCATTTTCTGACACCTAAATCTTGAACTGCTTCAAAACGTTAAGAAGCCTCTTGAGAATGGAAGAAGTTGAGCTCATTTTCTCCGCAAGTTATTTCATTTCCACGAAAACCTCTCCGCACGTCAACCGTTTTCAGGAGTGCGCCCGCAGCAGGCCTGTAGCAAGCGAGTCGACCGTTTCAACGCCTCCTGGGAATTAACAGCCCTTCCCTTCCACAGCCCTACCGTCAGAACGAGGGTGATGTCGGATAAACAAACGCCTGTCGAAATCTTTTATGTGGGTGGTGTCGGCTCTTTGCTAAGGAGGAATGCCTGTGTCGACGGCAGCGATCTGTACATAGAAATGTTTGTTCTTAAAGAAATATTTCTTCGTTTACGTATCATCTACGCACCAACTCACAAAATTTACAAAATATATAGTTACCAAACATTATGAAAGATCTTTGGTTTATTCCCAATTTTATTCATTCCCGTTTATGCACCGACATTTTGCATTTTATGAAGAATATTTCAAATAAAAGTTCGACTGACCTCTTAATCTAGGAATACACGTTTTAAACACAGAATAAATACATCAGTGCTTTCCAGAACTAAATAACGATATCACAAATATAAGCATACCTATCAAATGTGCATAATTGCATCTCATATTTTACACGTAGAAGTCTTCTAAAATGATAAACTTGAAAACATAATTAGCTCGTTTTACTTTTCATTGATTTAAGAGGTCCATTAATAGGCTTACTAGTATTGGTTAAGTGTTAATAATTATTGTAAAATGTTTAAAATCTGTGAAAAACCATGTGCCAAAGAGCAAGAAACAAAAACATGCTACCGTTCGAACGAGAACAGTAGGTAAACAAACGACTGACGAAATGTTTTGTGTATGTTGTGTCGAATCGTTGCGAAGGAGGAATGACTGTCTACATCACCAATGTGGATGTTGGAACGTTTGTCCTCAAACCGTCAGATAAATCGTGGCACGAGAGACGTCCGTTGTTCCAGAAGCGGAGGTTTGCTTATCTGTCTTGCTTCACGACGCACTCAAACAGAACGTTCGACATTTGAAGCACCATTGCAGAGTAGAAACGTACCTCGGTTAGCAATTATTTGCATAAATATATAAAACTGTTTCCCAGAGTTTTATAAACTAACTTCCACAGCTGCGCAAGGTTCTAAAATAACTCAGGTGATGAACATTTTATTTTGAAATACAGGAACATATTTTGTATGGTAGTTGTATCGAATGTTTGGGATTCATAATGATAAGAAACAGTAAGAATAATTATGTTTATTCAATACAGTAATTATTGAGAAACGGAGATAGGAGTGCCCAAGGGTGGCTAGGAAAATTGACAAAACCCGACTCAATTAGAATAAGATAAACTGATCCTTCAAAAATATTTCATTTTCAAAAATCATGTTGATTCATTTATTCTATTTATTGTGTTACAAACAAATTTGAAAACTAAAAGGATACGAATATGAAATTAAAGCAATATATAGAAAAATATATATTAAATTTTCAGCATTGCACTAGAAAATATTGTTAGGTTTTCAAAGTATTAGTCATCTCGTTAGTTTAGTCATAATGTCACTGGACGGAAAGAGGATACTCAGGTTTGATTTCCGGTCTGTTAGAGTTGAAAGTACCATTGGTTTCCAGGATTCAAAGCTACATTTCCTTCTCGAAGCCTTTAGAAAACGCACAGACACTTCCTACACGCTGGAACCGTTTCTGCATATCTAGCCACCAATTGGCAATGGAGATGTCGCGGATCCGATGAATCTAACCGTTCGCGTGGACCTAACCCAAGAGGGACTTGAGTCGGTTTTCCTCTGTATTTGCGGTCCGGCGAGACGAACCGGCATAGAAGGAGGAGGAGGAGGAGAGGAGGAGGAGGAGGTGACGGAGAAGGCGGTGGCCGAGGTGGCGGCGGCGGAGGTGCTGGTGGTGGCCGCGGTGCAGGCGGCGAAGAAAGAGGCGGTGGTGGTGGCGGTGGAGTTGGTGGAGGAGGCGCAGGAGGAAGTGGTCAAGGGGGCAGCGATGGAGGTGGTGGAATAGGTGGATGTCATGGAGGAGGTGGCAGAGGAGGCGGCGGAGTTGGTGGAGGAGGCGGTGAAGGGGGCAGCGGCGGAGGAGGCATCTATGGAGGCGGTGGAGGCAGCTGCGGCGCCAGCCACGACAGACGCAAACCCTACGAGGGGTGCTTCCACCTGAGCCTGCGAAAGGGGCGGGGCGGGCGCGGGAAGGGAGAGGAGGGAAAGGGGAAGGCACGAAAGAAAGGACCCGCCGGCGAGTAAATCAGCTGCTGAATATGGAGTGCTGGGGAGCCGCGCCGCAGCGGCCGTGCATGCCAAGCAGAAGCGGCGCTAGGGAGGTGGAGTTGGAGGTAATGGAAGCGGAGATGGAAGCAGTGCAGAAGGAGGTAACAAAAGGTAAAAGGGGTGAAGGGAAGGGAGAGAAGTAGTGTGGGTGTGAGTGAAAGTATGGTGGAGAACACGTGGTCGGAACGTTCTATTGTTTCTTATACTTGATGCAACATTTAAATGTGAGTGTTAAAAGATCTTTTATATTTTAATTAATTATTTAATAATACAATCGTTCCAGAGTGCAGAGTCCTTGTCTTGACCGTGTTCATTTATTTAACGCCAAATTCCGTGTGGCGTATGGGGAAAAGCACAAGATTCTCCAGGGTTTTTCTCATAGCCGTGTGAACCTTTCGGGCTTAACACTGTATGGACTTGTCGCTCGCATTAGCACAATAAAAGCTCATTCATTGCTCCCTAAACGTTACGTGCAATATAGACCTATTGCTTTGTTGTTTCTGAATTATTAGCGGCAACGATTTCGAAAATATCCCACAAAAGCACGTTATTTTCTATAATTTAACCTCGGGCCTCCGCAGCAGATCATCAAAAATACTGTTCATCAAACGAACTGTATGGAATGCGAAACAACTCCTCTCTGCCGCAGTTATCTTCTTCTAAACAAAACTCAGTCAAAAATATCTCAATATTTTTTATAAAATAGGGAAACGTTAAATAAAACTAGTAATGTTCGAGAAATCTGGCATACTAGTCAACACGAAATGTACCCTTAACAAGCCAAAAGACTTTAAGACTGGTTTCACGAGTTTATTAACGAATTATTTCGCAAACTTTGTGAACACGAATTCTTTGGCACACAATATAATTAAATAAATTAAGAAATATTTCCATTATTTCATCCTTGAATAATGTCAACATTCCCACAATACAAGAAATTAGACAGTTTTGTTACACGACATATTTTGAAACGACCCCAGTCGCCTAGCTCTCTTTCCCCCGCGTGTTCTGAATCGTGGTGTTCCACAAGGCTCCATCGCCAGGCGCCCGCGCCCGCACCGCGCCCCGTGTCAACACGCGGCCAGGACCCTCTGAGATTTTTATCCGCGCCGAGACAAAGAAGCCGATTAAAGGGAGACGTGGACTGCCTCGTCCTTTGCGGGCAGACCGTCGGGGGGCCACGGCGGCCCACGGGCTATGGGGGAGAGAACGAGAGAGAGAGGATTTATGTGGGAAGAAGTGTACGACGACAGGGCCAGTCGCCCAGCCTTCGCTCCGTCAGAGGTTGAAGGGAAAAGGCGAGGGGGAATATCAAAGAAAAATTTGAATTAACGCCGGCGTACCTCCATAAAAAGAGGGCTGACCGCAAAAAAGGAAATCAAGGGGAAGTGTTCGATGGGAGGGAAGAAAAATTTTCGGTGGTAAAGTAGGTAGCTTCGAAGAGCATGTACATAAAATGGTGTATTAAACTTAAAACTTTAATTTTAAATCATGAATTCGGTGCATCAAATTAAAGTATGAACAGTTGCCCACATTACTGCAAAGCTGACAGTTGATTAGCAGTACTTAAATTACAATCGAATACACAATCATCTATCTCGCTGGTTCCTACAATTAATATTCTTTAAAAATTTTTAGGAAAAGAAAGGAACAGTGGAGAAATTCTAAAAAATTGAATTAACGCCGACATTTCAAATGATTGATGATCGCCAATAACGAAATCAACGAGAAGCGTTGGCTGTGGGGGTAGGCGAATTTTCCGAGTAGTAATTTTTGCCTAGTTTTGCTAGTAGATGTTACCTAAAATTTTATATTCAGCCGAAATTATCAACCGAAAATTTGATATGTGCTTACAAAAATTCAATGGAAAAAATTTAAAAGAGCAAATGGCAGTAAAAAGTGCCGGTCAATGAAAAGCTGTAGTTTCATGAGTATTATTACAACATAGTAGTTCGTTATTGATAGAAATAATGAGACATAGAACCCTCAGAGGCTACCTTAATAGCGCACGTGAAACCGCCTCATTAAGTATTAATACAGTACATTATTCATAATTGTGCTCCTGCAATAATATGGGCGTTTATCACTTCACACAACATTCTGACAGCTGAGACGAAACCAACTGTCTTACATTCACCAGCCCCCACCAATTACATTTCCGAGAAACTTTTAGCTACATATTCCAGTGTATATTGTCGTATATCAATTCAGTTCAAACACCCTAAAAGTATTTACAGAAAGGATTCTATTTTATCACGTATCGAAAGTCTTTATGTAAGGAGGAAGAACAATTTCAGTTTAAATCCTCGTAAATATTTTTGAACTAAAAAAGGTTTCTTAATTATTAGTTTGAAGTTAAAGAAATCATACTGGATACCTTCTAGATTGTAACATGATAAATACTTGGCAAGTTTTGGAATACATTGAGTTGGATTTGGAACGCAATGTCCTTCCCTAGATCCGAAAAAGCATCGTTTCGACAGGAGAGCTCCGCCTTCCCTCTCTCTTCATCACACCCGATTCGGTTCATCATTAGTTGGCGAAAATGTTAGATTGGGTTTGCAATGCAGTCCTATGCTCTTCCCTGGGTCCGCCACAGCGTCCTTTCGGCAGGAAGGCCCCGCCCCTTTCTCACCACACCCAAATCAGTTCACCATTCGTCCAAGACTTCCAACGGCATACGTCGGAAGCCGACGCAGACAAGACGACGTACACGCAGCTCGTGGGTGGCGGCGGCGGCGGCGGCTGCGATGGCGGACCATCAAAAAAGGCCGCATTAACCGCCGACGGGGCGCGGCAGGGGCAGGGCGGAGCAGAGCGCGTGTGAGCGGTGAAAGAAGACGTCAATGGTGGCGGGCGCAAGATGGCCACCCGGAGCTGCCAAAGGCACCGCCACCGCCGCCGCTGCCG